CTCACGGGAGCTCGATAAGGCCATGCACGGCCAAACATCCTCTTTCTCACCGGCAGAGGCTTATCAGTTTTTCCCAATTCTTGAAAGCTTTTTGGCAAGCTTGTGTTCTTTGTGGACGTTGTTTTGTGATAGCATGGTTCCAGTATGTCATATACATTCAACCCGCTCACCAGCTGATCATGATCACACAACCAATCAATTCAAGTTTAGGGTGGTCAAGAGCTTCAAGTTAATTTAATCAATGATAGCCTTTTTTTTTATATAATCAATGAATCATTTGATAAATAGTTAACTTTAGGGAAGTTTTTTGTCATTAATCAATCATACTCCAATTAGTTGATGTATTAGCTTTATCTCTTTTGATGATCTAAAAGATGATTATTAGTAGGGAAAGACATCTCACGTTGTCGATTTGTGAGACTTTTTCTTTGCAAGGAGGGTCTTGGTGATCGTAGTCCCCCTTGCAAGCAGCTTCAGCTTCCTGTACCCAAGGGAAAAAAAAAAAGCTTTAGCTTCCTGCAATTGCTATGAGAATTTAATATCTCAGATAGTGTTGATAATCTGGGTGTTAGTTGTAATTTAAATCAGTTATGAACTCTTGTAGTTTTGGGTTATTTGTAATCTTATAATAATAACTAGTTATTTAATCCATTATTTGAATGGGATTGCACATAATTTGTTGAAAGATTTTAAAAATGGAAAAGTATAACTTGATTGATAAAAAGATTTAGCAAGGTATAATTGATACGAAAATATATAAGGTGTAAATCAATAAATTGATTGAAAGTTACTATAAATAAGGAAGTGAGAAAGGAAGAGAATTAATTATTACCAAAAATTTTTTTCAAATATATATATATATATATATATTAAAGAAGTCCATGTAGTGAAAAAAAAAAAAAGATAGTTCACTTGACAAAATATGGATACGTTCAACACATCAACCTTATCATATAGAGAACTAAATATTATTTTATAATAATAATAATAATATAAAAAAATTGAATGTTATTGTAAGGAAAGGAAAACTTTCGGAATTAATCTTGGCACTAAAATAGTCATACTAGTTCCATATTTCCACCTAGTTTTATTACTTGCCTTGAAAAGACTGTCAGGGATGAGGCCCATTCCATGTACAAATGCAACATAACCATTGTTTACATCAAATTTAGGATCACAAACTCCATTTCCTACCAGATAACCCTGTAGCAATCAGATGGCAATGGAATCAATTTATTACACAAATGATGATCAATTAAAGCACAGCCCATCAAAATTTTGTGTACCTATATGGCCTACCTTGAAATTGATTCTCGGTGTAACACCAGCTTTGATTCCTGCACAAAGGAAAAGTGTCACATTCCCAAAGCCAATAAGCACAGATACAAGTGTGTTTTATGTGTGTGATGGACATATTTGAGGGTACCTTTATCCACTTCAGTTGCAAGAGTTGGTATATAAACACCAGCATAAGACTCCCCACTCATATAAAATGGATTTGCTTGAAACTCTGGATATTGCTCAAGCCACTGATCATTTCATTCGAGTACAGGTAGTAATTAATTTGTTGGAAGAAAATTTATATCTTTGTACTTAAAAGTAATGAAGTCTCAAGGAAATGAAATCTTAATGATCAAACTGTACCTTGAGGAGAAAAGCATGAGTATCAGAGGCTGTTTGAAAATCTCCAGTGGTAAGATTTGGGTATGAAAACCCAACCCCTGATGGAGAATCTAGATAGATGATGTTTGAGACCTGCAGGGCTCAGAAAAACTTTAGTTACAAGATTTTGAGTTTACCCAGAAAGAAAAAAAGCCCCTGATTGGATGATGAAATCAAATCACACCTTAGACCAACTATATGGATTGAGATGCAAAATGGGCAACTCCCCTTGACTCTTTGGTGCTTCAAAATTGAATGGTCCTGCAAGGAATTAACTCAAATGATCATCATCTCTTATAAAGAAAATCGATTTAGTTAGTACAAGTGCGAGTGCATGGAAAAACCAGACACCCCATTGTCTCTCTGTTTCATCAAGTCAGACTGAAAATTTGGTAATGGTTAGAAAAAAGAATACCATGTTCGTAGACAAATCCATCAAAGCCAGAGCAACCAGGTCCACCGTTGAGCCATAAGACAAGAGGGTCCTTTGACGGATTTCCTTCTGATACTACAAAGTAGTAAAAGAGGTTCTTCTGAGGATTCGAATCGATGGTCACATACCTTTACACATATCAATTTAGGGCGTCATTATCACTAGAATGGAAATATGAAATGTTTGCAATTCAAACAGAAATTAGAGATATATATATATGTACATAGTTCAAAGAACAAACCCTGAGTAATGTTTTGATGGGAAAGCACCATTAAATCCAGGGAGGCTTGTGACTAGAGCAGCGTTCGGAGCTGCTTCAACATGACAAGATAACAGAAGCAAGATGCTGACTGATATGCTGAAGAGGAAATATCTTGAGAACGCCATGGCCAACAAGAAGATAATATGTTTTTTGCTCGGAGAAAGAGAACAACACACCAGTGTATATATAATATGGCAAGGTTTTAAGAACAAAACTAATTAGATATTGAAAAACATGCAAGGGGGTACTAGCGTAAAAAACGGGTAATTGATTCTGAATTTTCCAATTAGATATTGAAAAAGAACCTAATAGATAGAGGAAGTTTTATTTTACTCAAATAAAAAATTAAAAAAGGAAATTAATTTGGGAGGCAATTGTTTCATTTATTTGAAAAAAACTATTAAAATAAAATCAAGAAATTTTCCAAATTTGTGCTTACATCAAAACGAGTTTTTATCTGTAATAAGTTCTTAATAAATTGGATTCCAAAGGAGAAAACATAATAAATAATGGAGAAATTTCAAAAAAAAAAGAAAAAAGGTGCAACTAATTGTACAAATTAAATGGATCATAATCTAAAATTTAAATGTCTGTCTAATGGGCACTCATTAAGCTATACCTATTAGATTTTTTGAAAAGTAAGATTAATTAGGGAAATTGTATAAATATAAAGAAAGATAATAATTGTTAGTGTATGTATACACAAAATAGATTAGATAAATTTAGATACATGAGTGCCTAATTGGCATCCATCTCATTAGAAAAACTCAAAAACTAATATGGAATGCAGAATGATTATAGAATGTAAGGCATAGTAAACGCAAATGTATATAAAGTGAAAATTAGTGAATTGATTAATAATTGCCATAAGTAAGTAAGTGGAAAAAGAAGGGAATTAATTGTTACCAAAAAAGAAAAAAGAATTAAAAAAAGTAGAAAATCAACATGTTGATTGAATTTTGTTATGCATAAGGAAGTAATAAATTATAGAAAAAAAAACTGTCCAAATTTTAGAAATAGTAGCTTCTAATTTGTAATCAAGTCAAATATTAAGAATATAAAACGTTATTGGAGAGAAATAACAAAAAAAAAAGGAAAACTATAAATTGATTGATAAAAAGATTTAGTAAGGCACAATTAACATAAATGTGTATAAGGTGTAAACTAATAAAATAATTAAAAGTTGCTATATAAATAAGAAAGCAAATTAATTGTTTTCAAAAAAGGAAAAGAATAAAAACTACCAAGAAACAAAAACATGAAATATGTCCAGGTAGCGAAAAGATAGTTAATCTACTTGGTAGAAAATCAAAACATCCAACTTAATAACCTATCAAAACAAGAATTTGATAGCGTTCAAAACTATGGATTTCTAGATAAATTTAAAAAATCAAGGAAAACATATATAAAGCAGAAAATCAATATGTTGATTGAAATTTGTTGTAAATAAAGAAGTAATCAATTATAGAAAAATAAAAATTTGTCCAAATTTAGTAATAGTAAGTAACATAAATCAAGCCAAATAATAAGAATACAAAATGTGATTGGAGAGAACTAAAAGTAAGTAAAAGTATTTGTCAATTGATGAAAAGATGTAGTAAGGCATAATTAATACAAACGTATATAAGGAAAAAAATTAGCAAATTGATTAAAAGTTGCCATAAGTAAGGAAGTGAAAAAGGAAGGAAATTAATTGTTAAAAAGGTAGGAAATCAATATGTCGATTGAAATTTGTTATAAATAAAGAGGTAATGAATCATAGGAAAAAAATAAAAATTGTCCAAAATTTAAGAATATAACTTCAAATATATAATTAAACCAAATATTAAGAATACGACATGTGGTTGGAGAGAAACAACAAAAAGGGAACACGCCGCCCAATCAGAGCGAGCTTGAGCCTAATTTTTCTCCCTGTCGACGGCCTTCCCGTACTCAAGTAATGTCCGGCAACCCGAACTGTACAGTAACTCCTACAACGTTCTCTTAGCCCAACAATGCGGGCCTGAAATAACTGGCCTATAATGCTCTACAATGTTCACATAGGAGAAACAAAATTCTAGAACCATGAAGTATTCACAGGTCACTTGAAAAAGTGAAAGTAAAACAAGAAAAGTTCTACTCTAAACGATATACAACAAATAGTAATTTTAGGCATATTCATATTTATATTTGTCGTTTAAACATGTTGTGATTTTACGGTCATTGTTTATAGGTCAAGAAAGAAGATTTCTTTGGTTTTAATTTTAGCAAAGAATGGATAGATTCGGTAAGGAGAAAGGGAATTTGAATTAGGATCACTGATTATTGTTCAATCTTATCTTAAACATGATTATTTTTATGCAAATTTCTTGTGGTCATAATGTTGAGTTTTTTTTTTCATTTTATTATTCATTCTTTCATTATCCAATTCACACTTTTTTTTTTTGTTTAGTAATCAATGCTATTGTTACCAAAAAAAAAAAGTATTCAAGGGGTCAGAAATGCACTGCAGAAGGAACAAAAAAGCCAAGAACAATTAATGGATGGAACAAGAAGGATTTCTTTGATCATGATATCTTTTCTCATTTTTCATTTGGTACACATTTCATTTCTACAATTTTTTTTTCTCTGGACACAAATGAATTTTCTACATCCTTTTTCTTCTTTTTTTTTTGGGCTACTGCAACAATAATTGATGTTCCAGATCCTTGATTTTCCAGATAACCAAAAACCACTTGTTGATGGGCACATCAAATCTTTTGTCCTTGCAACCAACGGCTGTAGAAGTCCGATGACTCCCTTGGCTTGTACTCCGGTACAGTGTGTCCAGACCCCTGCATGAATTGATAATCCGCGGTATTAATTGAAATTATGAATTTGGAGAATTTGAATAAGCATTATAATGTACTTATTGCTTTATTAAATGAAAGAGAAACAAAATAAAAATCCACAAATTTATACCTTTACTGTGAGAAAAGTCAGATTATGGGCATATTCTTGTAAATACCTGAAATAGGCAACACATATGTCTTTGTTAGTTTTAGATGCTCTCATCAAATTATTTCAGTTTTATAGACCTCTTTGGAGTGGCATAAAGACCAGATACCAGAAATTGAAAGATCACAAGAAATAAATTAATGATAACAGTCACTTTTTTGTATATATAGGCAATTAGACTTAAACTAACCAAAATAATTTAAAAAAAATATTAAATTTATTTTGATCAGAAGGAATAAAGAAAATCTCTAATCCTTAAAAAAAAAAAAAAGAGGGTTTAATTTTAATAAAATGGTAAGAATTGAAGGTATACGTACCCAGCAACTTGGTCGTTAGATAGCCAAGGTCGCCATTGGTCCACAACTTCATAGCCGAGGGAGGCAGTCCAGGCTTGGGTTCCAGTGAATGGGATGCACAGGTCATGATCCCCACTGTCAAAAAATTTACGTGTTGTTTTTGTCAATGCACAAGACTTTTATTGAAGAAATTGATCAAATGCAATAAAACTAGGGTGATTTTTGCCTAAAAAAGTTACCTGTAAATGAGAGCAGGATATCCAGCGGATGTAAGATTTTTGTGGTAGGGGAGCATGCTTCCTGCATCATGATTGTATGAAAGGCCATTGCATATCCCCCAACTCCCACTCTCCTGATCAGGATTTAATCATGTCCCAGTTTACAAGATTAACCAAACAAAAAATCTTTTCTAGTATATATGTTTGTATATATGTACCGGACTAGCATGAATTGCCTTCCTCACAGCTTCATTGTTCAGCCATGCAGTTGCTACTTCATCATCCTGCGTTTTTCCAAGAAATCTTTTTGTTCACATCATAGAATCTAAACATCATTTTGAAGAAAATACATATTGGAGGAATTTTTTAGGTGAGTTTGGTGTCTATATATATATATGTCTGTGTGTGTGTGTGTGAATTAACTCACTGTGCATGGGACGGAAACTCCTCGGGCGTGGAGTGATTGAGTTAATTGTGGCCATGATGGAACAATCCCATCTCTCACAGGAGCTCGATAAGGCCATGCACGACCAAACATCCTCTTCCTCACCGGCAGAGGCTTGTCAGTCTTTCCCAGTTCTTGAAAGCTTTTTGGTAAGCTTGTATTGTCTGTGGACGTTGTTTCTGGGATTTTGTTGTTGTGATAGCATGGTTCCAGTATATCATATATGTTCAACCCGCTGACCAGCTGGTCATGATCACACAACCAATTATCAATTCATGTTTAGGGTAGCCAAGAACTTTTAATTCACCTTAATTAATTCATGTATAAGCTTAATCTTTTTTAGTGCTCATATATAATTTAGCAGGGAAAGACGTCTCACGCCGTCGATGTGTGAGATTATTGCTTGGCAAGGAAGGTCTTCGCTATCGTAGTCCCCCTTACAATTAGCTTCAGCTTCCTGTCACCCAAGATTTAAACCAAAAGAAAGAAGAAGAAAAAGATTAGGTTCCTGCAATTGCTATGAGAATTTAACATCTCAGACTATGCAGATAATCCTTTGCTTGATTTGATAATCCACAGCAATGAGGTGATTTCTTCTATACTTACCCTTTTTTTTTTTTTTACCCAAAAAATGTTCTAATACAAGAATCCATGTCTTACAAGAAACTGTTTAGAAAGGACAAGAAAGCTGCTGGAATTAATTGTGGCATACTAATTAAGTCAACCTTGTTTTATTACTTGCCTTGAAAACACTTTCAGAGATGAGGCCCATCCCATGTACAAATGGAACATAAGCATTGTTTCCATCAAACTTAGACTCGCAAACTCCATTTCCTACCATGTAGCCCTGTATCATATGTTGCAGTGGAATTAATTTTCTACACAAATGGTGATAATATTTAAAGCACTGCCCATCAAAAGGTTGAGCCATTTTGGCCTACCTTGAAATTGATTTTCGGTTTAATACCACCTTTGATTCCTGCAGAAAGGAAAAGAAAACTGTCTCAAGATGACATCCCAAAGCCAATTTTTTTTTTCGCAACATGACATTTATATAACCTATTCTAACCTAATTCAAGGGGAGGGGGAGCTGACATCCAAAGCAAATATGCATATGCAGAATGTGTGTTGTGTGTGCGCGCACGCACGCGTGCGTTTGTTTACTAGATATATATAAGGATACCTTTGTCCACTTCGGATGCTAGAGTTGGCACGTAAATGCCAGCATAAGACTCTCCACTGATATAAAATGGATTTGCTTGAAACTCTGGATATTGCTCAAGCCACTGATCATTTCATTCAAGTACAACCAGTAAATGATTTGTCAGAAGAAAATTTTGTATCTTTGCACGTAAATAATGAAGTATTAAGGAAATGAAATCTTAATGATCAAATTGCACCTTGAGGAGAAAAGCATGAGTATCAGAGGCCGTTTGTAGATCTCCAGTCGGAAGATTTGGGTATGAAAACCCAACCCCTGATGGAGAATCTAGATAGATGATGTTTGAGACCTGCAAGGCGGCTCAGAAATGTAATGGCTACGTATAAAATAAATTTTGGATTACAAGATTGTCATGTACTGAACAAATTGCAGAAAGAAAAATTATAAGCCGATCAGATCATTAAAATCAAACCACACCTTAGACCAACTAGATGGATTGGGATGCAATATAGGCAACTCCCCTTGTTTCTTTGGTGCTTCAAAGTTAAAGGGTCCTGCAGGGAATTAATTCTGAATGATCACCATATCTTGTGAAGGAAAATTGATTTAGTACAAGTGCAAGTGCATGGAAAAACCATAGACACCCCCACTGAATCTTTGTTTCATCAATAAGATTGAAAAATAATTGGTAATGTTAGGAAGAAGAGATTACCATGTTCATAGATAAATCCATCAAAGCTAGAGCAGCCAGGTCCACCATTGAGCCATAAGACGAGAGGGTCTTTCAATGGATTTCTTTCTGAGTCAACAAAGTAGTAAAAGAGGTGCTTCGGAGTAGCCGAGTCGATTGTCACATACCTTTACACATTTGAATTTGCATGTCATATAAATCAAGAAAAAGGATGCATGTTAACAATTAAACCAGAAATGAGAGAGATATTTACACATAGTTCAAAAAACATACCCCGAGTAATGTTTCGAAGGGAAAGTGCCATTAAATCCAGGGAGGCTTGTGACTAGAGCATCTTTCGGAGCTGCTTCAACAGGACTAGATGACAGAAGCAAGCGACTGGCTAACATGCTGAACAGGAAATAGCTAATGAACGCCATGGCTAACAAGAAGATAAATGTGTTTCTTGCACTGAGAAAGACTGTGACACACTAGTGTATATATAATATGGTAAGGTTTTAAGAATGCAAAGAAAATGACAACACCAGCATCAAAGAGAAAGGATGTGAAAAAGAAGCCAAGAAGTTGCCAATATATGAGCAAATTGCATTGACTGAAAAGGACATGGAAGTAAATGAAGTGTGTCCAAAATAATGCTCAACCACAATTACAGGATGAGGAGGACCTGACTGAACATTTAAGTTAAGTATCTGTCAAGGGGAATAAGTAAATGATCCTTTAAGTTTGTTAAGATTTACAAGATTGATGCAGCATCCAATGTCTATCCTTGATTAACCTCATTATTTGAGCCTCTAGAGCAGAGTATTACCTAAGATCGAAAGACACGAGAGCGTAGATAATTGACTGTTATGTTATGTAAAGAAAGTAAGAGTTATCTGTTTTTTAGTCCATTTTAGATGAATGGATGCAATGGCTCCACAAAATAGCAACGGATCCACTTATAGTGCTGCTGATAGCTTGTGATTTGTACATTGGTCAATTGTGGTAAGCAATATCACATGAATCGCAAAAAGAAAACTAGGGGGAAAAAAAGAAAAGAAAAGAAACGAAAATACTGAGCAGCAAAGAAGTCTCTGTTCTCATATCCTACACAAGTTTTTCATTGGGTAAATTACACTTTACCCCCCACACCACTCCCCCGATGATTTAGCGCTTTTCTATATAATCCCTTTGTTATTTTAAAGTTATATATAACTCCCCGATGATTTGAACTAAAGTGTCAATGTGACTAAATTTGCATTCCATAATAGAGTCAATTAAAATATCAAAAGTACCCCTATATAAATTTAAAAATTATTTATTAACCACAGGGGGGTTTATGTATATTTTTTGAAAATCACAAGAGGATTATGTGGTAAATTACTAAATTATAAATTATCGGGAGTTATGTGATAAAATACAAAATTATAAGAACTTAAAATATCGTGCATATTATATTTATATATTTTGATCACTACAGCCAGTTTAGTTTTTAAACAAAGGTAATCTCGACATTTTTGTGGGTTCCATTATAGAGGATCATTTTCATTATATTGACACTTCTATTCAAATCATGAAGGGATTTTGCATTGCTTTTAAAACCATATGGGAATTATCTAAAAATTTGCTAAACTACAGGGGATAAAATATATTTTATCCTTTTCAATTTGGTAAGGAATTGTATGCTCTAGTAATTTGGGGGTTAGTAAAGTAATTAAAATGGGTCATACTATAAAGTATTAGTTAGAAAGGCACATGTAAATAATCAGAGAGGTGCAATGACACACCCTTTGAATTTTCATTAAAGTGCTGGAATTCAATCTTCTAACTATAAACTACAATTCTAGGGAGTTTTGTTTTTTTTGAAATGTAAGTGAGGGGTTCGAACCCAAATCTCTTACTTATACTCTTTCTCCCTAGACCATCCAACCCTCTCCTCCCCCGTTCGAGAGAGATTTTAAATCTTTTTCAGGCCAAATTTACCTTTCACAAGTTGGTTGTCTAATTTCATTATAATTAGAAAGCTAAGAGACTATATAAATTTGATAACAAATCCAATTGTTATAGACATTTTTTTCAATTGGAATGAAGTCTCTGCTCTCTGCATTTCTAGTGAGTATCTGCTTTTTGCTCTATGAACAAAGTTGAGTTGTTCAACCTTTTTTGATATCACAACGATAACATTCTTATAATTTAATCTATCTTAATTTAGAGTAGAGGGAGCCAATAGAAGTAAAAACTCCTTATTAAAAAAAATTATTGAAAGCAGCCACATACAGTTACAATTTTGTGGAAGGCAACCTTTGACCTTCCAACACTGCCAAGACTCAAAGTGCCTGGTTGAGTTGTTTTACGCTTTAGCTATTTATGCTCTTGTCATTCCAATATTTGTTGTATCAATCCCATTTCATCATGACGACTGCTCATAAGTGCTTGGTGGTGACCACATCCAAGGGCTGGCTGGTGAACACTTTAGTTATTTAGTCATTCCAATATTTGTTGCATCAATCCCATTTCCACGTGACCACTACTCACACACACTAATTTGAATCCCACCAGAAAAAAATAGTTGGGTAACTATGCACGTTTAGGGGTGGCAATGGACCATGTCCTAATGTAATTATTTACTTGTCAGAAAATCTCAATTGAGATTTGGTCCACTAAAAGTTTGTGTCATTACGCATCTTGACCAACTTGTTAATGAATTGAACCAAACCGAGTTGCTTAACCCGCTAAGCGTAAACCAGGTCACAAAGTTAAGTATCCAACCAAAACATTAATCTAATAATGCCATATACAATACGGCATAAAACCTACAATTAAAACCTTCAAGTGAGATTTGTGGTTGCTAGTTTTAGCAGTTACTTACAATGGCTGGCATATGTAGAGTTCAATTATTACTAAGGTGGCATTTTATCGAGTTAACATATCTACTAGTAGGTTGAGCCGATCAACCAATTTTCGTTCGTATTACTAACAGGCTGATCTAATAATGGTCCAATTATATTCAACTATTGGTAATATTCATTAACTTCAAGTCGTGTTTGAATTTCTCTTTTTCTTGTCATACCAAAAAATTGCTAAGCAAGCATATTGAACATAAAGTCATAAGATTTTATGTAGCTAATTTATAGTAACAATACTTCCCAAATAGAATCTCATATCTGCTTGAAAAGCTTGTCTATCACAACGAAATCATCAGCTAATCCACTAAATCAACTAACCCTTTTTTCAGTTAGCCACAAGTAAAACCATGAATCAAATCCTATAGTTAGTCCAAGTTCATGAACATTATGACTAGCTAAGAGATTGCTTGAGTCGCTGATTTGACCGGTTTTTGGGTCTATAATTTTTGTGTTTGCAGTGGTCGGACCATTCAGACCAGTAGATTTAGGATTTGAGATCTCCCCAACCAGCTGGTGAAGAAGATTAAGCCATGTATGTTGCCACTTTCTGACATTTTCTTACGAAAGTAAGAATTTTTGACAAATAAATCTAACTCCGCACAGTAACTTCAAAAGCCGGTAACTTTCTGACATGTATGTTGCCACTTGTTACCCACGAAATGCAACGGCGCGCACGGACACAGCAGCACACTCCTGCACCACAAAGTAAATCACACCTTATCCAACACACACCAGAAAGATCGAGCCAAACAAAACTGAGTGGACAGACAAAATCTGAAACAGAGGAAAAAAAAAATAGAGGGACCATCCCAATCCATCCGGACGCTAGGCAGAATGGAAAGAAAGAGATGAATGCTTCTGTTGCTGCTGCAGCTGTCTCTTCTTCCTCTGCTTCTGTTCTTGCTCTTTTCTCCACCTTTACTTCGTCCTCTCCTACAACCAAATGCTGTCATCACCTCATCTTCCACTGCTCCAAGAAGCCCCCAACCAATGCATCCTTACCGCAACATCGACCCAACAAATTCCTCAGCCGAGGTAATTCTTTCCTTATTCTGTTATCTTCATCTTATTCTAGATTGAGAAACATATATATCCCAGTAACTAAAGGTCCTCCCCTTTCGAGCTAGAGCTCTCTTTTATCTGGTATTTTGCACTATTTTCCCGTCCTCTTATAAATATGAAGGTAATTGTTACTTGCATGGTGTACAGATATAATGGGCTAGCCGCAATTTCTTTGTTTTCTTTTGCCTGTTCCTTTTCCGAGTATAAGCTCGAAGCTATTAAAAAAAAATTGAAACTTTGAGCCTCCATAAAGCTATAATTCTTGCGTTTTATCATTAGGCGTCCTGGCAATTCGTAATGTTCGAACCTCCAATCCTTCTCCGCTCCTCGTTAGTTTGATAGCTGAAATTCTCAAATCTTGGGCCATGCTAGAAGTATAAATGTTGTTTTTCTTGATTCCGGGAGCAGAAAATGTGTTAGCGTGACTATACTTTGCTTAACCGTGGCTACTACCAATGAATTGCAGTCACAAATGACTCAAATCAAACAGAAGTGTCAGTCTCTGAAAGATCAGAGGCTGACAAACTCGTGGATGGGATGGATTTTGGTGAGCTCTGCAATGAATTTGAATGCATCAGTAGCCCCTCTGTTGAAGCCACCGCCAGACAACTCGTGCGTGATATCCTAGAGCTTCGTCAAGGAAATCGTGCCCTCGGGACCTTTGCTGCTTCTGTTAAATATAAGGTGTTTATACATTATCTTTAGATGCTAGTTTCTGAATTGGTTTTGATCAATGGTGGCATTTTTTTAATGTTAATAACTAATTGCAGGATCCATTCAGAAGTTTTAGTGGTCGAGAGAAGTACAAGAGACCGCTATGGGCAATTCAAGCGCTAGAGGCCCCCAAAGTGGTAAGCTTTCTGGCAACTGAAGTTGAATTTTCCCCCACCATTCTAGTGTGGTAATTACCTTAAGCATGATTTCCTTAGCGTACTTGTAAATAAATCTCCTCTTCTGCTGCTCCATATTGGTTCCTGATCACATTATCAGCAACAAGTTGTTCAGTTAACACGCTTTTGATTTGCTTTTTGGCTAACGTATGTTTCACCTTGATTTGCAAAATTCTACTTTGTTTCTTTCTCCAGAGTGTGCAGGAAATGGTCATGCTGTCCACCAGTTTGTTGAGCATAAAATGGACGCTGAGGGGGAAGCCTAAATCTCTAATTGGAGAAGAACTGATTGTTAAAGTACACTCCAAATTCACCTTGAACCAAATTAGTGGGCAAGTGATTGAGCATGAAGAATTATGGGATTTATCAGCATCTTCATTCCTTGCTCAAGCGTATTTCTGGGCTTCGCGGAGACTCCATGCTACTTCAGAGGCTGGAAAAGATGTCATAGATTTTGTCGAGGACTTCAACAGACGACGCATAACAGAGAACAAGAATGTTGAGATGTATCCAGACCCTTCTGGTGATCCAACGAAAGTAAAGTCACTACTTTGTAATTTACTTACTTCTCAGCAATCATTCTTTCGCCTTTATATATATGCTACTGGGAATTGATATGATTTTGGACTTTTCTTCTCCATGATT